CCCCCCCCCCTTCCCCCTCATAACTTTTTTTCCCCCTTTCCCTCCTTTCAAACCTTCGGGAACCCCGCCCCCTTTCCCCTTCCCCCAGCATGCCTTGCGCGTTTCTAACGAATTTCGTTACGAGTTTGCCGTTTGGGCGCCATTTTCGAGTGTAGAAGCCGCCAAGGCTGCAAGAAGGAAGGCAGGAAGCGGCTGTTGTAGCTGCCGCCGTAGTTGTAGCTGCCGCCAACAGAGGACTTTGAACCCGGACCTTGGGACCAAACCTTCATTTTTATTTAAAACAATTCTCCTTAAGAAGAAAAAGAAGAAGATATTTGGGAAGCTTCCCTCCTTATGGTGACACCAGAGGATGAAACTTTCTAATCCGGTAAATGGACTCGCCTACTAGTCATATGAAATAATTTTTATTATTATTATTATTATTGATGTTTCTGGAAGAGTAAATTTACTCGCCCATGAAGAAAAAGGGCGGCATTTTTAAATTATTATTATATTTTCTTAACATAGAGCCGTTTTTCCTTTTTTTTTTTTTAATGGGGTGGGGTGGGGTAATTTTTAATTTGATGGTTTATTACGGTTATAGACCAGTATATTGGTTTAATTCGATTCAGTAGTTTATCACGGTTATACTAGTTTATTACAATTATACTAGGTTTATTCTGAAACCGCCTTGGGTCCCTTTCTAGGAGAAAGGCGGCATAGAAATTAAATAGATAAATGGATTTTATTTTCAATTCAGTTTTCAATTCAATAGTTCATTACAGTTACAGGCCAGCAAAATTTTGTTGGCAATTTTCAGTTCAATTCAATGGTTTATTACAGTTATAGACCAGTATTTTTGCTGGCACTTTTGATTCAGTTCAGTAGTTTATTACTGCTATAGGCCAGCATTATTGGCTGGCAATTTTCCATTCAATTCAATGGTTTATTACAGCTATAGACCAGCATATTATATGGGTGACATTTTCAGCTCAATCCGATCGTTTATTTCGGTCATAGACCAACAGATTGGCTGGAAATTTGCTTCTGGAGTCGAAAAAACCATCTCCCTGCCTCTGATTCCTGTGTGTTTCTTGTGCAAGAGTTTTGATTTTTAACACATTTCTTCCCCTGACTGTCAAGATAGGTGTGTTCAAGGTCATCATAATTATTCTTAAACGTAATTATTATTTTTTAAAGAAATGTTTTGGGGTATTTTTATAAAAAAAACTATACTCATGGATGGCGATGGCAAAGCCGCTCTGGAGAAACTGGCCAAGAAAAATACTACGTTGACAGGCTACAAATCCCAGAATTCCATAGCATGGAGCCATGGCTGTTGAAAGGGTGTCAATCTGGATTATTTCTGTAGTGCGGATGTAGCCACATGAAACATATAGACCAAAGTGGATGGTTCCCCATGGAGAGTAGTGTAATGGTTTGATTGTTGGACTAGGAATCTGGGAGACCAGGGTTCAAATCCTCCCTCAGCCATCATATAAAGAATAGTGAATGTATATTTTTAAAAAATAGCGAGTCGGTGTGATGTAGTGGTTTGAGAGTTAGACTGCAGCTCTAGAGACCGAGGTTCAAATCCTTCTCAGTCGTGGAAACCCCCTAGGTGACCTTGGGCAAGTCACACTCTCTCAGCCTCTGGGAAGGCCGAGGCAAAAAAAAAAAATCCCCTCTGAGCAAAACTTGCCAAGAAAAAACCCATGCTAGGTTCGCTTGAGAGTCTCCATAAGTCAGGAAACGACTTGAAGGCACGCAACAGCAGCAGAATAAAATGTATTAGGCGTTTTGGGAGAGAGGGGGAAATGCAGTTTTAAAAAAAACTACCCCAACTGATCCCTGTCGTAACTGAACACGACGAAAAATCAAAAGTCTAAAGGAAGGAGGGGTGGCTGATTGTGATGCAGACTGGAATATGCCAAAACCATGCATTTGGTTTAAAACTTTTTAACTGTCGAGTTTTCATTTCGTGGCCCCGACCTGATGAGTGACATTTGGCAGTAAGTCTATAAGTGCTTTTTACAAACACCCCTAATTTGAACCCAACCCCCTCCCCTAGCATTGGCCACAAACTACAAATGTGGAAGGATTGGGGGGGGGGGAGTGTGGAAGGTGGATTTATGGCGAGTAAAAGCCTGATTCGTTTATGAGGACGCCAATGATTGAGTTCCCCATAATCATTGTAACATAACGTGGATAAAGTAACTCGTTGTTTTTCAAGCCTGATTCCTTCTAGCCTTTGAAAGCAAACCTTGGTTCCTTCAGTCAGATTCTGTTGGACTGTGCCAAGGGAATAACAGAATAGTTTCAAAACTTTCCTTAAGTGTGCCGTTATCTTAAAGGACCTGCTCTTAATTAAGTCCCTGCCACTCCCAAATGGGCTAGACACCCCGCATCCAGAACCATAGAATGAGACATTTCTTATTGGGTGTTAGGTTTTTTGAACCAATCTCTCTTTTTTAACATTACAATCTTTTTAGTTATTAATAAGCATCACTTTTCGTTTTACTAACACCTCCCCTTTTTTGTTTTTTGTTTTAAGAATCACAGAATATGGTGTTTTGTATTACATTTTCTGGTCAGTTTTCGCAAACAGGCTCTGCTCTTTTAATTCTAGAGTTATTGTCACTGGATCAAAAGGTTCAAATAATATTGAGGAGACCTTTTTTTAAAGCAAATGGCCAGCATTAGACTACCGTAATTCATGACCTTAATCATATTACTATATTTTTTAAAAATTGAAATAAAATGTAAGAAGCTAAACTTATGTAGAGAGATCTTGTAGTAAGCTAAACTTATGTAGAGAGATCTTGTAGTACCTTAGAGACTAACTTGAAAGAAAGAAGTTGGCAGCATGAGCTTTCATAGACTAAAGTCTACTTCCTCAGATGCATTTTAAGTCTACGAAAGCTCATGCTGCAACTTCTTTCTTTCATTGAGTCTCAGAGGTGCTACTTCTATAGACTAACATGACTATATCTTTAAAAGCTAAAGTTATGTACTTCAAAGTCTTAATATACATTTACAAATCTCTGGTTAATTAGTGTTATGTTTGTTTTTCTACCAGCTTAGTTAATTTTTTAATAGTTGACCCTGTATGACAACTGTAAATTGTGAGTTAGAGTGTATGAGGTTGTGTGTTAGGGTGGGTAAGACTGCATGCCTGTCATCGTAGTTTGATCATTTATAAAACTGGCCTAGTATCTTAGATTAATGGTAAGTGGTAAAGAAACAACTTTATGCATAGTTCTCTGGATTATATTGTTTGCGTAACCAGCAAAGATGCAACCCTTCTATAGTATGATTGTTTGGAATTTGAACAGCCAAGAGAAATCATGCCAAGCAAAAGGACTAAAGTATCTACAGCAGCTCAACAGCCACTGGAGGAATCCTCTAATGATGGGGAACCTGAAAACGAAGCCAATAAACATATAACTGAACTACCTCAGCAAGGTCAGTCTCTTACCAAACTGATAAATTTGTGATATAAACTTGGCCTTGGAGATACTCAATGTTAAGTGCCCAGATTTGTGTAATAGTTGATGGTTTGGACATTAGGCCCTTGATATCCACTGAGGTTTGGGTCCAGGACCCCCATGGATACCAAAATCTGTGGATGCTCAAGCCCCATTATATATATGGCATAGTAAAATGGTGCCCTTGATATAACATGGCAAAATCAAGGTTTGATTTTTGGAAATTATATATATATATATATATATATATATATATATATATATATATATATATATATAGGCTGTGGATGGTTGAATCCGTAGATAAAGAGGTCTGACTGAACACAGGTTCTCAATTTTCACTCAAAATGGTGTTAAAGGCAATACCTGACTTTCAGAACAACCTAGTCTTATTTCTGATGTTCAGTCTAGAGTCCTTGACATTTACGTTATGTAAGAAGCGTGGACCAATAGTTTAAATAGAAGTAATTTTGAAGTGTGTGAAAGTAGCTACTTGTGGCTTGTTTTCTTAGCCAATTACTGCTTTTATCTTAAACATGTTTAAAAGTTCTGCATGTTGCACTGAGAAACATCTGCATTAAAAGGAAGCAATAGGCAGTTTACATTTTTAATCACGTCATTGAAAAGTTGTTAATATTTGAAAAGCGATAGCCTATAATTCTTCCAAGAAAGAAAAGATTGCCTTTAGGAGTTAAAAAAAAGCTCTACGTCTTGTTGAAATCTAAGTGGCCGGTTTTGTGTGTGTGTGACAGACTTCCTGTCTTTGAGGAATAGTGCTGCTGCTGTCATTGCAGCTTGCAGGGCATTGTGCAGCAATTCCCATACCACCTCCTTAAGACTATGTAAGCTCGGTATGCCTGGAAATGCGAATCTAGATCAAGATTTGGTGACTTTCTTGGATTTGTATGGATAAAACGTGAGTGTAGTATTTTTTGTAGCAAATTACTTTGAGAAATGTTTCTCTACTTTAAGAATAGAGCTCCCTAATGGTACAATAAGTCCATAAGAAGCACGTTCCATAATCCTACTCTTAGTAAGCATATGGGTAGAAATCTACTGATTCTTATATAGTAGGAGTCTTATAAGAAGGAAGATTCCTTAGCTTCAATTGCTTTTACTCCACTGATGAGCTAATTATACAGTAGATTTAAGTAGCTATTAAGTAAGTTTGTCTCTTTGCTTGTTTTTGGCTGTCTCTAGCAGTTTCAGATGAAGTAGTTGACAGTCGAAGTTTAGAAGAGATTTTGTGTAGCATCTCTCCTCCCCCACCTCCAGCAATGACCAATGAAGCTGGAGCTCCTCGTCTCATGATAACTCACATAGTAAACCAGAACTTCAAATCTTATGCTGGGGAGCAAATTCTAGGACCGTTTCATAAGGTATCATTTTCTGTTTTAAGTGATTTCTAAGCTGAGGTAAGACATTTTTGACTCTGCTGCCTACAGTTAAGTGTAACTACACATTGCTAGCTAACCTGGGGGAAGGGTGAGTTAACTTGACTCTGAATTTCTATTGTCTGTACTTTTCTTTTGAGAACTTTGATTTCTGTGGCGTTAGCTACAAATAAAAGCTTTTTTCCTGTTACTTATGAATAATGATCAGTTATTAAAGTAGGAAGTGAAAGTTCACTTAGTTTGAAACATTTTCACTCTCATACGAATTGTGAACAAGCTTCTTCGACATTCTGCTTAGTGAATTCAGCTCGTTTTCTAGAGTTTACAGGATAAAACTGAAGAAGTTTGAGCTAATAGGTGGTGTCTTTGACTAGCTTGTACTTTTTATCCTTGGCTGTAAAAACTAAGCTTTCCAGTAGTTCACAGTTTCCTGCACTAGGTGTAACAGTATTTTAAGCTGTCTACAAAGCATTGAAGCATAATTATTGGTGGCTATTAAACTGGAGTGCTTTCTTTTTTCTGTTATGTAGCGTTTTTCATGCATTATTGGACCAAATGGCAGTGGAAAATCTAATGTGATTGATTCCATGCTCTTTGTTTTTGGTTATCGAGCTCAAAAAATAAGATCCAAAAAGCTTTCAGTACTGATTCATAACTCTGATGAACATAGTGATATTCAGAGCTGCACTGTAGAAGTTCACTTTCAAAAGATAATTGACAAGGTATGTTTTCTTTTCTTGACGTTGGGGAAGATCTACCACCTAACAGGCTTATGAATTATTACCATATTGTCTGTTGACTTTGAGTAGGATTAATGCATTATGGAAAAATGTTGAATAATTTTTATGTGAATGGTGAATATGGATGAATTTGATATACTTAGTATTCAATTTCTGTTTTGTGAAGAGATACCTCTTAATTTGAACAGAAGAATCGCATACAGTTTAACAACAGTGAAAAAACTCGTTTCAGCCTGAATGTGTTGGAGTTTAAATATATATAAAACGATTGCTGTAGAAATTAAAAGATTTTTAATTTCTTAAAAAATAATTCTAGCTTGTTAGAGGTGTATGTGTGTGGTGTGGATGGAAGATGAAACTGCTCTAAAAGACCTCTTAAGGACCTCATAAGGTAATCATTCTTCCAATATTGACATCCACTGACTTAAAAAAAGATCATTTTGGTATTGTTTATTATAAACTAAACCTTCAGAAACTATCTGTCTCTTTAAAAGTACACAATTTGCAGATCTTATAGTACCCTCTGTTTTCACAAGAATCAAAGTTATGCTTAATTCAAATACTTTTTTGAGCATTGGTGAAATAGGATTAAAAAACCCAGGCACCCACTGATTTTTTTTTAAAAAACATGATTTTGATAATAATACAGGATTAACAATCAGAATGAAAAGGGGGGGCTGAGGGAACAGTTGTAGCTGATGAGATATGTTGCATTTTTAACTTCCGTAATTGTTGTTTTTCTAGCCTATGTGCAAATATATATTTTAAATACTTTATTTCTAAAGTAGCTTATAACTTTAAGAAGAAATAATATTCCCTATTTGCCTGAACCAATCATATCAAATCCTGCATTGCAGTTTTTACTAAATCATTTTAAAGTGAATTTTCTGTGGCATTTATTACTAGAATAAAAGTTTTAAGGAATTGGGCCAGAATAACAGTCCTTTTTTTTTAAAAAAAAAATCACTAACGTAACTAAGAAGTT